CCCATATCGCGGAACTTGGACACGACATTAGGAGCGATAGCAACACGAGTCTCATCGCTGTTCTTAGTCTCATCGAGTACACCAATGGTCTTGAGAGCCGGAGGATACTCCTTACCTTTCTCGGGCTCGGGCTTCTTCTCCTCAGCAAGAAGGGGAGCGGAGGCGTTGTCAGCGGTGGTGACCTTCTTCTCCTTGGCGAGACCCTGGAGAGCGGCGAGCAACTCCTGTGTCTTTTCGTGAGCATTACCGAAGAGCATACGAGTATTCTCCTTGTAGAACAAGGGATTCTCGATACCAGAGTAGCCAGTGGCCATGGAACGCTTCATGACAACGCAGGTCTTAGCCTTCCACACCTCAAGAACGGGCATGCCACCAATGGGCGAGGAAAGATCCTCAACGGCCATGGGGTTGACGATATCGTTGGCACCGATGACAAGGGACACATCCGTGCTAGGGAACTCGGGATTGACCTCATCCATCTCCTTGACGATATCATAAGGGACGTTAGCCTCGGCCAACAACACATTCATATGGCCCGGCAAACGACCAGCGACGGGGTGAATGGCAAACTGGACCTTGACACCATGAGTGCGGAGGCAGTCAGCGATACCAGCGACAGTCTGCTGGCAACGAGCAACAGCCATGCCGTAGCCGGGAACAATGATGACAGACTTGCCGTTAATCATCTTCTCGGCAACCTCATCGACATTAGTCTCAGTAGCGGTACCAGTGACCTCGACGGTGTGACCCTCTTCAACACCAAAGCCACCAAGAATGACTGAAGTGAAGGAACGGTTCATACCCTTGCACATGATGTAAGAAAGGATGGCACCAGAAGAACCAATAAGAGAACCAGCGATGATAAGGATCGTGTTGGAAAGCATGAAACCACAGGCAACGGTAGTCCAACCGGAGTAGGAGTTCAACATGGAGACAACAACAGGCATATCAGCGCCACCGATGGACATGACGAGAGCCCAACCGAGATAAAGGCAGATAATAGTGGTGGCAATAATGATCCACATACCAGTAGTGGTACCC